GTCTTTGTCACATGACCAATTTAGTGGGAAAGATTTGCTCTTCGTAAAAAAAACTGTTCCAAATTGTGTCAAAATTACAGACTTCGGGCTATACATCAAACTATAAATTGTGTTGCTAAATAAATTAGAACTTTTTTTACGTTCATCATATCTGAAGCAGAGCGGAGCACCGAGCGAACTCTGCTTGGTGGCATTAATCGTATTAATCGTCACGTGCCAAAAAGTAATCGATTAATGTTTTTCTGACGATTAATCGCACACGATACGATTATGCCCAACCCTATTGTAGAGAAAAAAGTAATTATCAACAAACTGACACCACCCCTGTAAATCCATTACTGTCCTTTCCACAAACAAATCTGCAGGTTTCATYACATCCTGCAGAATACTTTTATTTTCTACCACCAAAAAATATTTTACCAGCAATGGTCAACTTGAGAAATGAAAGATCTCTTTGCTTGCAAATCCAAATGTTTTGCAGTAAAGCTGAAACTTAATGAACATAGTGAAATACAATTTTTTTCCCAGCTTCTAACCTAAAGATGTTAACATCCTTTAGTGTGTTTTGTGGTGACTCAGCTCCACACCAAACAGAGGCTGTTTTGTGCAAATAAATAAATAAATAAATAAATAAATAAATAATAATAATAATAATAATAAAGCAGTTGAAAACAAAAGGATACATTCAGCTCATCACCCACCTGATCTTCTCAATCTGCATCAAATGAGAACTGGTCTCCTGACTGGTGGACTTGCTTGTTGATCTCTGCTCCGGTCTCACATCCTCTTTGACCTTTTTGCTCGGTGGTGCTTTCGAGCAGGTAAAATCATCGTCTGAAACAAAATGAAGGCAGAGAAAAATAAAAAAAACAAAAATGTTTGTCTACATACTAGTCAACAACTGAGATTTCTCTATTTAATTTTTGGGGTTATTACACCACAAAGTTGATTCTATTAGCCTGGCAAGATTACCACAGTTCTCAGATTTTTAGATTAAAATCAGATATAAAACAAATATTGCAGCACAAGAAACTACATGTATGATGAACACAGATTAAAACAATCATGTAGGTTTTCACATTTCTGTCTACAAGCTTAGAGAAAAATCAAAACAATACTGAAGATTTCAATAGAGCAGAAAATAAAACTATTCAGTGAATTTGACAACATAATCTGGTGGTATTTTAATCCTTTTATTACCAGACAACTGTCTTAAACAATTATTTTTACATTTAAACTAAATAAACGTGATTGTTTTGGTAATGTTTAAGAAATATTAATGTATCAAATAACAGGATAATTTACTTATACCATTCATTAGAATCTCTAGAATTAAAAACACCTGACGACAGATCATTTCTGCAATACTTTTAAGTTATTTGACTGGTTGAAATGAAAATTATGGGAAAAGAGCTGAATGTAAACAGTGGAGGGTGAAAACGAATGAGGATTTAACTCACCGTCGTCAAAGTCTTTGGATTCACAATAATTCACAGCCTTCGTTTTCCTGGATGTAAACAACAAATAAAACAAACTATTACTGAGCAAACAGGTCATAAAGTGGCGCTGACAGGAGTGACAGCTCACCTCGATGGTCGGTCCATAACTTAGAAAAAGATGTTAAGCTACAACAACAACATAGGTTGTTGCTAGAAAACGAGCTAATTAATTATTAGCTGGCAAAGAAACTGACCTAGTTAAACATAATGAACACTAATAATTAAAGCATTTATTTAAGTTAAAACGTTAAATTATCTAATTCGGAACGTTTTAGATAAAACCGCGTCCCTCTAATGCGTTCATGTATCCCGCCTGAACTAAAAGGAAGTGACGTCAAACCCGGAAGCTGATTCGTCCTTTTTTTTCCCCTATTTAACAAATCTGTTATATTTATATTTTAAAAAACACACACAAAGCTTGTGATTTGTATTTTCAAATATTTCTAATAATTTAGATTTTTTAAATATTACTAAATTAGCTACTTTTTTTCACAAAACTTTATTTAAACACAAGACTTGACAAAGAGTGCAAAATGAGCTCTTCAAGAAAAAATAAGGAGATTCTTTTTTTTTTTTTACGTTTCAGGCTTTTGCTAATTAAAAAAATAAGTATAAAGTGGGCCCTATAATCAAGTATGCTGATGTGTAAACAGTTTGCATTCAGTGTTTGAACTGTTTTTTACTTTCACGGCATTTGTCTTTTGTGYGATTTCAGTCTTGCAGAATCCCAGAATAATTCAAAGATGAGGATGGAGATGGTTTATTATCAACTCAAACCAACCCTGACCACTGTCTAACATAGATACTTTACATATTTTTGCTTTGAAAATAAAACTAATTACAACAATGAAAATGTACAGCATTTTGGGAGTCCAGCAGGTGGCAGAATAAACCTAATGCTTTGAGGCCTCACATCACAGAAGTGCACTGTCTGACCAGCTGATTTACATAAACCTGACAAGTCCTCAGCTGCCCGCTCGCCCACACCCAGGCCGGAAGCAATCACAACACCCTCTAAAGTGAAATTGAAATCTCTCCAATTTTCGCCTGCATTCCAAGAAAGCAGCTGCACTGAGGGTTGTCATTTACCAGTTTCTGAGTGGGTGGCTGTCAGCTGCGGTTTTGTCACACAGTGGACCTGCAGGGACATGATGGTCCGTGTTTTTGGACCCAGACAAGGAAGGAAGACATGGAGCCTGGGGCCAAAAGGTCCTGTGGTCACACATTCCTAAACTCCTCCAGGGCTGCCTACAGCGGGGGACTAAAATATCCCCTCGAGTCATGCAAACATTGCGGTTACAACATCACGTTTTCTATTCACACATAAAGATGTTTGTGCTTGTGACAATGCCACAACAGCAGCAGCGAGGATATGTGACAAGCTCATCACTTGTATAAGTAAAATATCATTTTATCAGGCTATAAATGCAGGAAATAATTTAAGCTGTTCTCCTCATGAACACTTTTGAAAACCTCTCAACTCTTTAAACCCCCTTATTAAGTCCAACCAGTTGGTTTACGCCTCCATCTGTTTGCACTTTTCCTATTCCCAAATTATCCAGTTCATTTATTTATTGTTCTGTATCAGTGCACTTCATTTATTACTTAACATTACTGCTATTGTGTAAAATATAAATTATTATTGTCCTAGTAAATTTACTTCACCATGAAACCTGCTGTACATTTGCATTTTTCATGTTTGCACCAATGCTGCCTTCACATTAAAAGTCCCTTTGTTTATATTTATTTATGTCATTTCACTTTATTTGAACTAGCTCATTCATTATGTATTTTACTTTAGTTTTTATTTTTCCTTTGTCCATTGGGGATGAATACATTTTTCTGACTGTAAACTAAAGGATGAACCTCTAAGATTATAACTTTGAGATTAGTTTCTCTGTGAGTTAAGCAACTTAATCATGATGTTTAAAAGTTAATAGAATAGACAGCCTTCTACTCAGAAAACTAAAAATAGTAGTAATTTATTCTTTCTATTTCTCTCCCACTCCGAGTTTTATTTAGCCAAATAGGCACTTTTTACTGGTCTATTTTGGACTAAGATGCAGATTGGTTTAGCCTACTTGGTTTTGGTGAGATACTCAGTAATGTGTGCTTGTTAGTTGGAAGTGGTCAGGAGGCCGCCCCCCCCCCTCCCCCCACCCAACCACTGATGTGAATGCTATCATTATGTAGTTGTATATTATCTCAGAGTGCTTGTTTGCGTGAGGCTACCAAAGGCCAGACCCCATGTCCCTGTATGGATGTTCCGCAGGTGGAGACTGCAGTGTTTTTATTTACATTCCACAAACGTCACATGGGAGGAGACATACTCAGCTTTTAATTTTCAGCTATTTTTGGAATTATGCAAATGGTTTTCATGTCCAACAAGATAAGAATGGTCATATAATTAAAAAGCAACGCTTTTAACATTGTCAAGACAAAATAATCARTTAGAGAGAAAACTCATTGATAAACATGTCCTGATCAGTGTTGGATGTTTCAAATATCCGGTGTTGGATCAGCGTGGTGTTTTCACTGTAATCTAGAAATGGCCTAAAGCCAGATGTGTTCATGCGTGGAGAACTGAAAACCACAGGGCAGCGGCTGAAGCGGAGTGGGCAGACACATCTGTCAATCAGTGGCTTCCGGAGTTTGTTGTGTTCCAGTGAAAATCGTTTTCTTAAGTACATGCTTTCATTGACCGTTTTTTTTTTAAGAGTACAAACTGAGCGGCCACAAAGGTAATTTGAAGGAAGAAACAAACATGAGGAGAATTTAAAAAGTCGGTTCCTCCAGTTGCACAAAATGACACAAGAGAAGCCGCAGATTTACTAAATTTAGGTTCAGTTCTCACAGGCAGACAGAGCCTTATTGTGCTAGGTTTAAACATTAGAAAAAAAGTATGTATTAAGTATTAAATTATGTATTAAAAAGTATGTAAATCTTTTGGCTTAGACCATTTTATATGAAAGGCAAGTTCATACGTGGCTGTTCTTTATACTGAATATGGGAAAATATGGGAGATCACAACAAAGTAAAGATTCCATATAATCTGTTGACTTCCTTAGATACTTTTTTATTAATTTGTATTTTTTTAAGTAAGTGAATCTTTTTGTGCATTGCCCTAAGATGACTTGTGTTGTGAATTGGTGCTAAATAAACTGAATGGAAGAATGGTCTGGGAAAAGTGCATATTTCTTCTGGCTGTTTACAGAGGTTTATAGTACTTCATTAGAGTACTTAAGTAATTTAAGGATTTGTAATTTTACCAAGTATTTTTTGTAATCATTATGTTTACGTTTATTTTATGTTTAAAACCTAAAACAATACTTTTACTTATTTACTTTAAAGTTCAACACCTAGTTACTCACTACAAAATTAAATTTCTGAACTCATCATGAGACGAGTTATTTATGCGCTCTAAAATAATTAAGTGTTAAATTTACTCAACCAGGTCATGTCAACTGGTTCCACTAAACCTAGTAGAGTAAATAGGAAGCAAAATAGATATTTTCTTTAAACAAAAATATGTATATTGCTGAATTTACTCAACTCAGTTAAGTGGAACCAGGTCACACAACATGGTTAAGTAAATCCAACATTTCATTTTTTACAGTGTAGTTTTTGAGCAATTAGGAGTTTCAAAATATGTTTTATTTTAAATTAAAAATTAAACTTAAAATCTAGTCCCCCTGAACAAGAACATCTGGTCTGAAACCAATGTTCTCAACATTAAGATGCAGGAGGTTATATGTATAATATTGTTTAAAAATACAAAATTAGAAAAGGACAAGCTTCAGTAAGTTGAGAGTGTGTATAYGTATATATACAAGTATATTTTTGTGTATAGATATATGTATATTTGGCTTTTGATTTTGGAGTCCCTTAAATCATTTCTACTGAGTTGTACTATAACGTAATTTATTGTATTTTATTGAAAAACCTATTTATATTTTATAAGGATATTTTGACTGTTTTAGTCACCAAAGTGTGGAGACTATGAAGCCTTCAGTGGTCACATGATCATCACAGCAATGTGAATTTATTTGTCAGGGAGATGAGGTCGAAGCCCTGGCAGCAGAAAGGGTTAAAGGTCACACTAAAGGGCCCAAAATCCCACCTCAGCAGTGCAGATGCATGAATACCTGACCTTCTGATCAGTAACTAAATCTTTAACCCCATCTTTAACTCTTCCATGAACCCAGCCCTGATCAATTAGCACAACGGTATATATGGTGATACCCATAGACTCAGAGTCTTCTTTGGACCCACTTTAGTTTCAGAATCCAGGACTAGTTCCGGCAACATAAAGAAGAGAAATATGCAATATGATTATATGTGATGACAAGATGGTAAAGCTATAAAAAGGATCAAAGTGCCGACAATAATTCAAAACTTGCACCTCGACACTGCGACACCTTTCAAAATAGCATCTGTAGAGCGGCAGTGCTTTCTGCACTTTGCTGTGACGCTTGAAGGGTGCCTGGGGAGCCATCTCATTAGGACAAACTTTTAACAGAAGGATTGTGGGCAAAAGGATTTAAGAACCAGATCCCTCTGTGACTTATGTCACACCATGCCTGGAATTCAAAGGTATCGCCGGAGCTTCATTTACTGATAGATCAGTTAGCTGTTGAGCATTTCCAACTAAGTATCCTGTTTCCCTGAGCTGAACAAAGAACACAACCATTTCTAATAACCTAGAGGGGCCTATACATCAGACAGAACTACTGTGYAATGTTAAAGACTCTACATAAAATATTTATCCTTATTTGATTTTTGTTTGAAATTGAACATGATCAAACAGTGACCTCGTGTTCTAACAATCTGTTTTTCTTCGTCTTTACCCAGAACAAAACTTTAAATCCAAGCAGCTMTTCCAACTTTTAGTCAAAGTTTCTTTACTCAGAATAAAGTGCCATTGATCTTCAAAGCACTGCCAGTGTCTGAATGCTGCAATGCAGYGAGTTATTTTCCCAGAGGGAGAAAAGATGCTCTAACATAGCTTTGCCACCAGAGGGCGACGTCCTCATATGGGACTGTTGGATTGAATTTTYAAAGCTTTACCAGCTCTCTTACACAGAACCAAATAAACATTAATGATTAATTTGATTGCATTTTCATTCAATTTGCATAGTTTTACTTGCTGTTTATTTACTGACTTAAAGGTTCTGGTCCCCTTCGTCTGTGTTTTTACACACCTGCCCACCAGATGTCACTACTGAGTTTCTCACTTAGGGTCATCTGACTCATTCTTGTGCTCACACACCTGTACCCTTTCTCTCTTCCATCAACCAGCCGTTTTCTGTAAACTCGTTTTTTTTTGTTG